ACCCCTTACCCGGCTCTCGGGTCCCCAGGGGGCCTGCTGTCGGGTGAAGCCCCCGCAGCGCCGGCCGGGCCCCGCCTCTTCTTCATCGCACCTGCCTCCCCGGGACCCCCTCTCCTCGCCCTGCCCCGTCACCCCTTAGGCCTCTTGCCCTCCTCGGGGAACCCTCGGCTGGTGCAGGCGCGGCCCTGAGCCCAGCTTTCCTCCGCTCGCCGGGTGGGAGAGGGGCTGAGTCAGAACTGGCCTTTGAGGCCCGGGGGGCTTTGTCCCGGACCCCTGGCCGGAGCCGGGCCGTGCGGGGAGGCAACGCGGAGCGGGCGGGGGCGCGTCTGCGCCGGGCGCTCCCAGGCCCCGGGGGGTGACTGATCTTTGGTTTTTGCGATGCTTTTTAATGAGGAGCTGACTCGTTTGCCCTCTGAGCGCCGGCTGGATGGAGGGGCTGTGTAGCAAGTTGAAAAGCGAGCGACTCCGCTTTCTCAGGGCTTTGTTTGAACTCCCCTGTAAACTGGGGGTGAAACTGCCTGTCTCCCGGATGGGCCACTTATCAGAGACCCTGGACAAATCACTTATCTCCTGGTTTTTTAGTTCCCTTCTCCTTTAAATTGGGGATAAATAATGCCTGCTTTGTGGGATTCCTGCAAGGGTTCAAACACAAGGATTGTATAAAAACCCTTATAACTATTAGTGTTAGCAAAAATAAATAAATAAGTAAATAAATAAATAAATATTAGTGTTAACAACAAAGAATGAATTTACCCTCTGTGCCACCTCGTCCCTTGCTACAGGTCAAGTTATTTGGACCATGAGTCATAACTTACTTGGAAAATGAAAAAATAAAACTTATAAATCCCTCTTGCAAGGCCAGGGAAGTACACGAATGGGTAGGAGGTGGTTTGGCAGTTGCTGAAGGGGGCTGGACCAATGCTGTTTGTTTGTTTGTTCTCAGATCCTCTGGGATGGACGGACTCTTCCTAAGCAACTTAGCTAATCTGCAGCAGCTGGACAATGTTCCTCATTAACTTCTGTCTATCAGCATAAACATCACATCGTTTCACTCTGGTAAGGTGACCTTTCCAGCAGGTGTAGTGTCTTTGACATATCAGAGTTGTTAAGGTCAGCCATAGGTGTGGTGCGACCTTTGACATTGTTTTTTTTTCTTGGCATGTTTCTCACCCATTGCCGTGTGTGTGTGTGTTTCAACTTTGTAAGCAAGCCATACAATGCTTTGTGTGCCTGTCAAAAGAACAGCATTGGAGCTATTCTTTGGTGTTCACTGTAAGAAAATGCTTTTTGTTATTTTTATTAGGTGGCAGGGACTCAGCCCTGAAATCTATATAGAAAAAGTACCTGGATCCAGTCTTTCAATGGCTTCGAGACAATCAGAAGTGCCTGGTAAACTTAATTCTTTTTTGGTAAAGTCATGTTTCCCTCACGTTGTTAACCAGAAACTACTTTTTCTGAACCATATATTGATGGTTGCTTTCGGCCTCCAGGAGTATTTAGAATTAATATATTGGCCTCACTTAAATATTATCTTACTAACCATGCAGCCAGGGTATAAACCTAAAATCTACCTGGAAAGAGAGTAGTCATTTCACTCAAGGGTATGACAAATTTGTCACTTTCCTAAGGTATCAAATAAGAATTCAGAATAAGTTGGGTAGTTCTTGTAGTATGTGCCAGAATGATTAAACTCACCCCCTTTTTAGGTGGCTTGGGGAACAGATAGAATGGAGGTCTTGGCAAAAAGGGACCAGCCTGATTTAAAGCCAGCAAACATTTAATGTGTCCTGGGTTTCTGTAGGGCAGTAATTTCTGGGTTACTGAAGTCATTGATCCTGCCTTGGACTGTTTTAGTGGGAAGGGCAGTGATTTTTAATCAAGTCTTAATCACTCAGTTTTAGATAATCAGTGAAGTATAGACGATAGTGCCCACGTCTGAGGGCTACTGTGAAGATTAAACATAAAACGTGTGAAAATGTGGGTTCAAAGTTAGTGATGAATGTGCATTTAATGCCCAGAAAGTTTGGGGGCCTCTATTTGTAGGGATATGTTTCTTGGTAAATATTAGCTGACTTTCTTATTTTTAGGAAGGCTGTTGGGAGGAGACTTAAGATGTTTTTGACATTGCTCCCAAATTTAGTGTAGCAACAGGAATCTTCCCCATGCCTTCCAGTATCAATCCCTCCCTAGTCTCTCACTTCATCAGCTTGCGTTTTAGTCTGTCTGCCATTGCTCCTGTGATTACCATAAACTCTGCTATGGCCACCCTAGACCGCAGGGTTGCACTCATTATGTTAATGCTTTGTAGTGTGGGGAGCATGGGGTTTTGCGTGTGGAGCGAGCGGTGGCTTAGGTCTGTGTTCCAGTCCCCACCCACATTTGCTAGCTGGGTGTCGCTTAAGATCTATGCCTCAGTTGCCTGAGCTGGGAAATGGGAAGAGTATCTTTTTAATGAGAATAAGGTAAAAGTGAGGGATGTCAGTGCCTGGCAAGGAAGGGTACTTGGCAATTGTTATTTGCATGTTTTAATTGACATAATTCACATACCATCAAGTTCACCCACTTAAGATGAATAACTTAGTGGTTTTTAGTGTTCACAGGGTTGTACAACCATGACCACTATCTAATTCCAGAACATCTTCATCACCCCAAAGAGAAACCCTTACTCCCATTAGTAATCCCTCTTCCTCCCCGCACCCCTCCAGCCCTTGGCAGCCACTGATCCTCTTTCTGTTTTTAGGGATTTGTTAGTAATTATTATTGATGTTAATAGTAATAATAATGGTAGCTGCTTGGTTCCCTAGCTGTTTAAATGAAGTGTCTTTGGTGGTTTGGGACTTTCCGTCGTGCAAGTTGATGTTTTGAAGAGCAATTAATGGAATTTCAGCAACAGGAAACTGTCACGCTGAAGGCAGGATGTAGACATTAGTTCTGCTGTGAAACAAAATGAACTTTGCTCCCTGATCTGGCAGAGCTGAGAGTGCCCTTGAGAGGGGTGCCTGTGTCACAGCAGGATGTTCCGCCGGTCAGGTCCGGCAGATGGAAGGGCAGGATCACCTGGCAGCTCTTTATGAGCATGGTTGTCAACAGTTTCTCTGCTGGCATTTGGCACTGTTGCGAAATCATGCAGAGCACTGGAAACAGTGGTGATGCTGGACAGCATATTTTAAATGTTTCTTGTAATCGTGCTCTTGTTTTCTTTGGTGAAGTAGGGAAGGCAGAGGATTTGCAATCAAGCCCCAGCTGGCTGCTTGCTGTGTGAAACTGGGCAAGTCACTTTGCCTCTAGGCCTTACTTTTCTCATCTGAAAAATGGGAACAAGAACGTCATATCCTCAGTCTCGAATTGCTGTGGGGGCAGATTCTGTGGCATAAAGAACACAAGCTTTGAAATCAGACAGAATTGGATTTTGATTCCTTACTGCACTTCGAAGTTTTGTCACCTTGCTCAGGTCATTTAAATTGAATTTCTGGTTTTTGTAAACCATATAAGTGGATTAGGGCTGCTGAGTGGGTCAAGAGGAGAATCCAAGTGTCAGGCATAAAGGCAGACACTTGAATACTACAGATTCTCATTCCTTGATTGGATTCACTGTTCCAGGCAAGTTCTTCTTGCTGTGTCCCAGAGTGGGTGTTTCAGAGCTTTCCTGCCCACAGATCAGTGTAAAGCTATTCGCATGTTCAGTTGCTGAACCAATCCTGACAGGTGTCTCTGTTCTTAGCTCTTGAGCCTAGTGGGCCTCTGGGCAAGATGTCCCTGCCCATCGGGATGTACCGCCGGGCATTCAGCTATGATGATGCCCTGGAGGACCCTACGCCCATGACTCCTCCTCCATCGGACATGGGCAGCATCCCCTGGAAGCCAGTGATTCCAGATCGCAAGTATCAGCACCTCGCCAAGGTACCTGCCCCGCCGACTGTTCGTGGCAAGCCCAGCCTTTTCGGACCCCTTCCCCAGCTCTGGAAGCCTCAGTGGCTCCCAGCATCCATAGAATCTGGCCACCACCAGTTCCTGTATGTGTTTTCTGTGACTCTGCAGGAGTGGGTGGTCCTTTTTTTCTTTTTAATTCAAACTAGAATGGCCATGTCTTCTCCCAGCTCAGACCCTTCTCACCCCATCCCATTTGCCACAGCATTAAAAATGCAAGCCCCTCAGTCTGGTTCTGCATGATCCCATCCTGCCTGCCGCTCCCCCCAGTGATCCAACCATGCAAGTTTCCTAAGATTTCTTGCACTTGAGGGTATTTGGTGCCTATAAGTCTTTGCCTCAACTGCTCCATTGCGTGGAATGTTTATATCCGCATCCTGTCCTCCCACCCTCTCCTCCCACCCACCTGCCTGACATAGGTGTCCTTTAAGTCTTAGCACAGACATCTCTCCTGCGAGAACTCCCAGTAAGACTGTTACCTCTCCCTTGGAGCTCGCCACTGTACCACAGGCCCCTTTCACAAGCCCTGCGTTACTTTACCCCCCTTCATTAGCTCTGGAGGGCTGGAGCCATGGCCAGTTTTGTGCTTTGCTTGCAGTATCAAGCAGAGGACCTGGCATGAAACAGATACCAAAAAAAAAAAAATGTTCATTGAGTGATTGGGGGAAAATTGGCTCTTTCCTGAACACATGCTATACTTTTTTTGTCATGCTCTGCCTCCTGCCGCAGATGCCTTTCCTGCTGTAAGAGTGGCCTCCTTCTCAGGCCCTTGCTCACATTCCCAGATACCGTACCTCGTCCCACCTCAGCTGCCCTCACAGCCCTTCTGTGCAGTCTGACTTCTCACAGGCTCATTGCAGACATGTTACTGAAGCTTGTGCTTCCTGCCTGTAGGGACTGTGTCCTGTTACCACTGGCTCTCGGTACTATTGCCTGAATAAACCAGGCCTGCCAAGTTCAGATGAGGCCATTTAATCTACATCTAGTTTCACTGAACTTTGAGCTGCGTGACAGCTAAGGGCCTGATAGGAAGTACACAGTGAGCAATTACTTTAACAGACTGGGTATGAATCCCGGAATGGTCTGTGTATTAGCCATGACCTTGGGCACAGAGCCTCATGCCTGAGTGACAGTATCTCCACCTGACAGTACTTTGACGTGGAGGTGCTGTGCGGATTGAAAGATTTGACACATATTAGGTGTGTAGGGGACATTACGACTCCTGGCTCCCAGCCTGACTTCGACCTGGTAGTCGTGTTTGAGGCTTCCTTTCTAATGGCTCCTCCCACCCCCTTCCCTTAAGCTCGGAGAACAGGGAGCTGCTTTCTGCAAAAGCTTCCCCTACAGTTCCGGGGGAATTTCCTTATGTCCATTATCTACCGAAATCTGACCCAGTTAGTTGTTGGGAGTAAATGTCTTGCGTAGAGAGAACTGGCAGTACTGGGAGAGAAGGGCCCTGGCAGCCTGCCTGCAATGCCAGGGCAGTGCACTGAAGGGACCGGAACAGGCAGGCAGTGCTTCCAGGGCAGCACGCCCCCAACGTAAAGGCTGCCGCTTACTCAGCAAGGCAGACGCTGGGCTTCCCATGAGCTGTTGTGCCCCTGCTGGAACAGCTGACAGTTTGGAACAGCTGCTCTTACAGGGAGGCTCAGCGGGACTCAGTGCATGCATTCTTTCACTTGTCCTGACTCCAGCATCTTCCAAGTGAGGAAGCAGAGGTTCAAGTTCTACTCCAGTGAGGTCACAATGTTTCCTACTTTTCCCCTCCTTCTGTCTTCTCAGTTCCTTTGGAGAAGCAGCGAACAAAGAATAAACCTGATCGTCTCCTCCCTGCTGGTCCTGAGCATGGGGACAGGGGTTGGAATGACAGAAGGTGTTGAGCTCCTGACTCTCATGTTAAAGACTAGGAGCTACATAGAGTTCTTTGGCTTATTTTAAAAGACCATTCCTTGAACCTTTAGAGCTGTGGTCCTCATAGTGTCGTCTGGGAACCAGCAGCATCAGCATCACTTGGGAATTTGTTAGAAACATGAATTCTTGAGTCGTCCCCCCACCCCCCAGGCCTACTGAGTCAGCTGTGGGGTGGGGCCTAGCAGTCTGTTTAACAATTCCTCCATCGGATTGTGCTCTCAAGTCTGAGAACACTGAGCTGGTGCAGTGATGAGTCAAACAAAAGGCAGTGTAGTGCCTGGTACATGGTTAGTGAGTAGTCATAGGTCCTGGACAGACACGGGCTGGGAATTAGGAGACCTCAGCTTCGCATTTTGGCTTTCCCACTTTTATAAGTTATTTATGTCTTTATCTGTTGTCACTATGGATGGTACATACCTAATCAGGCAGAGATGACAACCCTTCCTGTCAAAGATTTCCTTACAATCAGGTTCAAGGTGTCTCAGCAACTTCTTCCCCAGCAGAGTGGGTTAGGTGTGCGACCCCCACGCTGCTCAAGTGCCTCCTTCCCTCTCTTGAACAGGTGGAGGAAGGAGAGGCCAGCATCTCCTCCCCTGCCATGACCCTGTCATCGGCCATTGACAATATGGACAAGGTCCCTGTGGTGAAGGCTAAAGCCACCCGTGTCATCATGAGTTCTCTGATCACAAGTAAGCGTTCTGTACCCTTAGAACAGAGTGGAACAGGGGCGGGAAGGTGTATGGGGCTCTGCAGACACGCCGGCCTTAGCCTGTCCTGCCTGTGCCTGGCAGGCACCAGCTGGGCTTCTAGTCACCAGTAAAGCTCCACTGAGATGAAGATTTGCCATACACTAGGCGTCCCAGTTGACAAGGGTATTCCTGCCGCTGTGCTGCTGCTGTCTTACCCACATCCATCGGTGTGGCCTGGGGCAAGTACTTCACCATCCGGACTGTTCCCTCCTAAACCAGATGGGGAGTCTGGCTGGCAGGTGGAGGGAGGGTTAGTGGTGGGTGGGTGCCGCTCCTGGAGAAGGCGACACTTGGGGGCATCGCCGCCTGCCTAGTAGTCCTTTTTTTTTTTTTAATTAAGTGGCTCAAAGCTTTTCCCTTCCTGGACCTTGAGGCAAGTTTGTTCTTTATTCTTAAGGATGTGTGACTTGTGTTCCTAATGAGACTGGAAACAGGGAGCTTGCATTTTTTTTAAAACCATGGCTCTGCTGTGGGAAGTTAACAATTAATTGATACACAGCTCTGCTTGTCAGCAGCAGCCTCTGCCAGGGACAGGGCACAGAGAGGTTCTCCTTCTTGGGTCAGTTTCAGAGTTCGGAAGTCCTTGTTTATCTGCTCTGAGAGGGCATCGGTTTATCTGGGCAGTTACTAGAGAACTGGCCCAAGAACCAAAAGTCTAGTCTCTTCTTGGACTTCCTCTCATTCACATGTAAACACGCCTTTTGAATCAGCAACCGCTAGTGTTTTGTAAGCTTGAGAATGTTCTGGCAGTGAGCGCTCAGCCCCGTTTCCCAGCAGAATCTGACTTCTTTATTGGAGACGCTGCCCAGCAGTACAGAGCGTTCCGACTCCAGAGTGCTGCCGTCACTCGGCACCTCACTCGGCTCGTCCGCGTCCTCCGCGCGCGCTTCCCGCAGGTGCAGACCTCGCCGCCGTACCGCTCTTTCAGCTGATGCTGCCGGGAACTTCTTTGGACGTTGCTATAGTCTCACATTGTTAAGAAATAGCTGCATTTGAAGTCCTGGTATTAGTGTGCTGTGATGCCTTAAATCCTTTACCACCTTTAAAATTTCAGGGAAGACCTTGGTCCAGTACTCCCACAGTCCTGCGCGTAGGGCTGTGCCAGGTAGTGTGCACACAGAGTAAGCAAAAAACTCAGCTGTGCCAGGTAGTGTGCACACAGAGTAAGCAAAAAACTCAGCTGTGCCAGGTAGTGTGCACACAGAGTAAGCAAAAAACTCAGCTGTCAGTCATTCCACAGTGTAACTGACATTCACTTTAGAGAACTTTCATGAATTTAAGCCAAACAGATGACATATGCTGAGAGCAAGATCTCACATGCTCCCATAACTGCCTCACTGATCACAGTGTAAGTGGGTCAGACTGACCTGACACTGAGTTGTCTGCTGTGCCAGGCACTGAGAGGCACTTTGACCCATGAGAAACGTTGGCTTGGTAGACCTTGGCTAGATCAAGGCCCATTCTCTGTGGTTTGAATTCAGTTGGTACCTTGGTGCCATCCAGCTGAGATGTGGCCCATTTCTCTTTGGTGGAGGTCTCTGTGTGGGACATGAGGGCAGCTGGCTGTTTCTGAAGGTCAGCTGGCTTCTCCACGTTCCCTTTCTAAGCACAAAGGGGACATCGTGGTGTAAAAATAAGAGGGAGATAAGGCATTTCCCTGGAGGCATCTTCCTTCTCTGTGTGAGGGAAGGCTGCCCTCTGGGGAAACCCTCCTCTGGTCTCTTGCTTCTGGGGAGAATGGGACACCTGTGTTGCCCCCCCCAGTTTGTGATGGGAGAGGGGGTGGGCATGACCATCATCTCCTCTGTTCCCAGAACAGACCCAGGAGAGCATTCAGCGTTTTGAGCAGCAGGCAGGGCTGAGAGATGCTGGCTACACACCTCACAAGGGCCTGACCACCGAGGAGACCAAGTACCTTCGCGTGGCAGAAGCACTCCACGTAAGCTGGTTTCTCAGGAACTGCGACAAAAACGACACCCTCACCGCTCTTAGCTTGAGATGTGCTGTGGTTTAGAGTTACCCGCTCAGCCAGGCGGGGTTGTGGGGAGTGATGGAAAGAACAGGGCAAGGAGTGTAGAACTGCTTTGGGCCCGCCTGTGGCGGCACGTGGAGTCGTATGGTCGGGAGCTCTTTTCCCTGAAGGTCCTGCTTATCTGTCTGAAGTGGGGGTGCCTGGTCAGGATGGGAAGAGCCTCTGCGCTCACTTGTGCGCGAGCACGTCCCGAAAGTAAAGCCTGTGTGGGTCACTTCCTGCACCAGTGATCGGCGCTGAGGGGCGGAGCATCGGGCAACCTCAGTGGGTGTGACACTAGCTGAAAGAATGTCATGCTCTGTTTTATTTTTTAAAAATGATAAATTGGAATGCTTTTGCTTTTCATTTCTGAAATTGGAATGAAGACTAATTTTTGGTAAGGTTAGTGATGACCAAATAGTTGTACGAGTAAAGGAATTTCAAGTGACTTTAGTTCGGGGAACGCTGCTCTGTACGTCACAGTGCTTTATGATTCCTGAGGCACTTGCATCCACCTCATCTTTGTTAATCCTTTGAGGGAGAAACTGTTCTCTGTGTTCTATAAATGCCAAGACTGACGTCCAAGCTCCTGTATTTAACCAGTCACAGCACCTGAGCTCAAGTCTCCTGGTGCCCTATTTCTTCTTGGTCTACCCCATATTCCAAAATTGTTTGAGAGCCTGGCTCCTGAAGGGGCTCAAAGAAGGATTGTGCTGCACAGTATGTGGAAGGAAGAGTCAGGGACATCTGGTGGCCTGTGGGGAGGGATGTAAGACCTTGTGGACTGTCGCATTTCAGATTGAGCATCCCAGATGATGTTTGTACACCAAATGTAAGAACATTGCTGTGGGGGACCATTTTAAGCTGTCAGACAAGACAGATGCTTCGGGAGAGAGGCACTGTTGGTCTCTGACACAGGACTTTCCAGGATTGGTGCCAGAGTTCCAGTTGAGCAGTTCACCCTGTATAATGGTAGGGTTGACTCTGGGCCATTTTCTGGGTCTTGGCCACAGGAGAAGAACATGAGACTGGCTGACGTGCCAGCTTGCGTAAGTTGACATGTGGTGTGTTTGAGAAAATTCAGTCAGGGTCATTTGTTTGGATGTGGCTTGGGCTCAGCACTTGCACACTAGACATGGAGCACAGACACAGTAAGGGAGCCTGGATCTGGAAGGACTGGGAAGTACATTTGTCTCTCCCCCAGCAGCTAGTCTGGATGTTAGAGGTCTGTTTACAGTGCGGGGGAACCCAGGGTGACTGGTTACGGGAGGGAAAGGACAGAATGGGGCAGGCTCCGTGGACGAAGCGGGCAGCTGGAGAGGAACAGCATACCCCAGTCGTGGCTTCGAGATTGGCAGTGGGGGTGTCCGTGGCAGGAGAGGCAGCGAGGGAGAGCTCAAGGCCTTACTTAGAAGGCCCAGAAGGCCTGCAGCTCCAGCTCTGGCTCTTGCACTCACGGCTGGGCGAGGTGGGAAAATTAAAAGCTCTGGTGTGGCACTTAGTACAGAAATGTCTTGAGATGTGTTGTAGAGTTAGTACATTCTTTTTAAAAGATGGAGTTCTATCTAGTATGGCAAAATCAAAGGAGTGTCTGTTTTATAATCCAAAGTTATTCCACCTATTAATGTTTTCCTTTTGCCTGATGTTGGTGTGAACCGGGTTGTTTACACCCAAACTTAGCCGAAGTCTCTCTTCTTACCCATCTGAACAGACACTAAAACTACAGAGTGGAGAGGTAACGAGGGAAGAGAAGCAGCCGCCTTCGTCCCAGTCGACCCCCAGCAGTACCCCCCACTCTTCCCCGAAGCAGAAACCTAGGTGAGCCTCCCTATGGGTCTTCCAAGCCAGGTGTATGGAGAGATTGGGACTTAGGCCTGTGGTCTCCAAGTGGGCGGGGGTGGGCAGTTCCTAGGCCTTTCACTCGAGACCCTTCTAGAGGGAGGGAAGGGGATACATTGGGCTGTTTTACTCTCTCTCTGCAGAGGCTGGTTCTCTTCAGGCTCTTCCACAGCCTTACCTGGCCCAAATCTTAGCACCATGGATTCTGGAAGTGGGGATAAAGACAGGAACTCAGCAGATAAATGGATCCTCTTTGGACCAAGATCCCTCCTGAAGTCAGATTCAGGTAAGCCAGCTCCCTCGAAAGAGCAGTGCAGCAGGCATTTTACCGTGCGTATCAGGAGCTGCCTGCTGATTTTTAAATCCTTTCGCTCTGGTTACTTCTGTAGGAGGCTTTGCCACCCAACCCTACAGAGGAGCCCAGAAGCCATCGCCAATGGAGCTGATCCGCATGCAGGCCACCCGAATGGCCGAAGACCCAGCAACCTTCAAGCCGCCCNCTGATCCACATGCAGGCCACCCGAATGGCCGAAGACCCAGCAACCTTCAAGCCGCCCAAGATGGACATCCCAGTGATGGAAGGGAAGAAACAACCGTCACGGACCCATAATCTCAAACCCCGTGACTTGAATGTGCTCACACCCACTGGGTTCTAGAGCTTTCTCTTCTAGTGACTGTGAATAGCGGGTGTCTTGCACCCACTTACTATTACCCTGGCTCTGACATAGGAAAGGTTTGGGGTTTTTTTACCTCTTAAACTGAGGCTAGAACTGGGAACATAATTGGTTTCCGAGGACCATTAGTGCAGAGCTTATCCCTGCAAAGAAGCCAGCGGGTAGCGCTTTAACTGAGACGTAGACTGAGTCACCTCAGCAGTGGGGGGGACGCTCAGCACCTATTTTTGCATCATTTAGTCTCGACAAGAACTTGATCATTGCTTGCAAGGTAGATAATGTTTGTGCTCCCAAACCAAGGCTTCTTGATTCCTTGACCATGGTCAGCATGAGCATGGACCAGTCGGGGTGTAGAGGCGCTCACTGGCTGGTCCGGCCCTCTGACAGCTGGTGCCGTGTGTGCTCCANGCTCACTGGCTGGTCCGGCCCTCTGACAGCTGGTGCCGTGTGGGCTGCAGCCTTGTCAGTGAGGGGACCTGCGATCCATTTGAGATCTGGGCACAAAGTCAGACTTGGCAGGGACCCTCCTGCGTGGAGACCGGAGCCCTAGCTGTGGCTGTCGGGCAGAGCCAGTTCTGTGGCGCCTCTAGGCAGTTCTGGGCAGTGCTGCTCTTTCCCGTGTCAGCAAACACAAGTCTGGCATAGCCTTTGCTGCACTTTAAAGTGAGATTAAGTAGGAAAGTTAATCTGGTAGGAAACTTTTTTGGTAGGAAAGTTTCTAAGGGAGAAGATTCCGCCTACTGCTTTGCTACAGATAAATGGATGTTAAGCTTTTTAAAAACAAAGATGGTGATGACTATCCGTAGATTCTAGTCCAGACATTGATGTGAAATGTGTCACCAGGGCCTGAAACTTTCTAAGAGCCACGCGGAAGGATGAAGAAATGTTCTATATGCAATCATTTCCCCCAAATGAGCCTCACACCCGTATGACCACGGCCTGAGGAAAGGAACCGGGGTAGCACCTGTCACTGCTCCCCGCTGCGGTGTGCTCGGTCACTGTCCTCAACACTGTCTCAGATCCCTGCTGCTCTTGCTTTGGAAGGTTCGTGTCTACATAGCCAGCTGGGCTGACCTTTCCATAGAGAGGCCCTGGAGTCTCAAATGATGGGAACAATTAATTTATTTGTGTTTTCTGTTATGCTCGTATCTCTTACTTGTTTTGACAATAAAAATCCTTACTACTTTCTCAAACATGGATAGCTGTTTTCTTTGTCCTGTTAAGAGTAGTTACCACATTCTGCCTACTCACAGTCATGGTAAGCAGGTAAACTTGGTATTTTGAAAAACCATTGCCTTTTATTGTACCCTTTTAACATTTTTTGTAACTCACTCATCCTTTTGTTTCTAACCTCCCATCTCCCCATTACATTAGATCTTAATAGACTGGTCACAAAGTCAAATTCATAGGCAATATAACAGGTCTAATATTGATGTTTGTGTTCCATTACAGAGAAATGAATGTGTCTCTCTCGAAACAGGCTGTTAATTCCTTGAATAACATTTGATGTCTAGGATTTGTTCAGAGGGATTTTTTTCACATCTTGAATGGAAATGTTAAACATCTAAGTGCATATAGTATTACCTGTTTCAAAAAGTATAGATAAATAATTTATCAAAAAATATATACACCTTGTATATTTAAGCCGTATTTTTGAGAATAGGCTAGGATAGGATTATAAAAAAAGTATTTACTAAAGAGTTAGAAATTTATTATAACCTACAGATAAATAAGATAGGTTTGGTCCTTTAAGACTTGTAACTACTTTTCATATTTTCAGAACTTCCAAGTAGTTGGAGATAGAGTTCAGGAGGTATTCTTGGTGCTCAGTGCGTAGCAGGGCCTCAGGGGCTGCTCCAGTGCTTGGGGGAGGGCTCTGCGTCGGGGTTCAAGTCCGCAGCATAGAAGAGCAGGAGCTTCAACAAGTGCACTTTGTCTTGGAGCTGGGGGACCAGCGGCTCCCCCAGCATCTGGACCAGGCGGCTGCGGAAGGCCTCGATCTGCTTCTCCACGTCCACCACCGTGATGTCGTCGCCTTGCTGGGGCTTGGGCTTAATCCTTTTGATTATTAAGTCTTTTCGATCGATCACTGAACTCCGTAAGTGCTCTGCAAGAGGGAAAAAGTCAGTTGAACTGAACTGCTTTTTATTCCTTTATGATTTAAGACTGTGAAGTCCAGTTTTAGTAGGCAGGGCCTGGGCAAAGACTTGTTAACTAGCTACTGGGCTACAAGTCAAAAGCCAGGTGAGTGCTGGTGGTGACTCTCTTTCCAAAAGGTCCTTTGTTCTTGGTTCTCTCTGGTCCTCAAGTTTTTCATATTAAAAAAATTCATTTTATTTTCCCTTGGTTTAAACAATGAAACTATATTTAAAATTAATATAACCACTTGAAAAATATTCAAATGAATTTTGAGTATCTTCAGAGAGAGTTTTTTCCAAAATATGAAAGAATTACAAAGAAATATTGAACTTGTACTTAGTAAGTTTATAGTGTTGGTTTACTATAGTAATTCTGTTTAAGTGAAGCCATTGTGTAGGTATTGTAGGATAGGCCAAATGAGTAAATATCTGTGTTCTGAAACGGGTGTGGGGGATTTTCTTTTAGCCAGAGAATGAGTTCAACAGACAGCCCAGCATCCATGCTCTGCCCTCTGGAAATGTTTGTGCAGGTTCAGGAAATACTTCTCCCGAAGGTCAAGGGTCCGTACGAAAGTAACAACCATGGATAGGGAGCTTAGAAAGGGGGGTTGGAAATTCCTTAGACTCACTTTCTAATCTCACCCAGCGACTTCAGAGAGAAGTAATTCCAGTGTTTTCACTGCAGACTTTGGCAACAGACCTATTTGAATCCTGGCTCTGACTTTTACGTTTTTCCTTTTTTCTCAGCCTTTGTGTTCCCACCTGTAAAAAGTCAATGACTTTCACAAGGTCATCGGGTGTTATAGCCAGGGTGTGTGAATTGACCTCACCTCCCTTCCTCTCCCTCCATGCTGAAAGGCTTTCCAGCCTCTCCCCTTCTTCCCCCATCCTTGGGGCCTCACAACTCAGGCTGACCTCCAGATGCCCTCAGCAACGTCCTCAGGGCACGTGAAGAGGCAGAGGTGACCAAGGAGCCCTCGCGTTTCGGGGCACCATTCAGCTATAGGATAGTTTTCAAACTACTTGGTCTCCAAAGCAGCTGGAGAGGATGTCAAGGATGAAACAGCACTGGATCACGGCCCACTCATTCGACATGGGGTGGGCAAGAGGAGGTTCACGACTGTGAGTACGTGAAACAGTTTCTTACTGTATTTATGAATTATTGTAGTATTTGTATTAGAACTGTAAACCTCCTCTTGCCCACACCTGCATGCTGATCTGAGGCCTGCCTTTCCCTTAGCTGAAGCATAAGAATATTCTGTAATAAAACTGATTCCACTGTTGCCCATCACCCAGGTGTATTTCCTGGGAAGCAAAACAAATGAACGAGAAGTGTTAAAGGTGAACTTTAGACAAAAACAAGCTGCTTGAATATTAAACTTTCTGCTTAGATCTCCAGAAGAAAGAATTACATAAAGCTCAGTGAGGTTAACACATGGAATTTGCCTTTAGGGCTTTGTTCTGAGAAGGGCATGTGCCGTTCTCTGCCAAAAATGCCCAAACTACCCAACCACACACGGTGCGGCCTTGATGCACTCGGTTAAGTTCAGGTAGAACTTGAAACAGAGAAGGCCCTGTAGCCTGCCCCGGGCTAGGCAGGCAGGCAGGCGGAGATGCGCTCAGTGACAGCCCTGCCCGCCTTTCCCTCACACCGCTTGCGAGCAGCCTTGGCGGTTAAATGTTACCAGCCCCATTCTGCAGAAGGAAGAAACAGGTCTAGACAGCTGCCCCACAGAGAGTAAGTGCTGGGGTTGGACTTAAACCCTGACCTGCCTGAAATCCAGAGCTTTTTGTTGCTTTTTGTCTCTACTACAGCCTCAGTTCTAGGCTCGAGAGGGTATAAGGACTTTCTTACCTTCCCAAGTGCCACTACTGAGCTAAAGTCAACCTCAACAGGATCATGGCAGATACATCGTAAACACAGTTTTCCTACTTCCTGTTTGAGGAGAAGCTGCAGACACTGCCCTCCACCCCTCAGTGCTTCAGTATGGATCTCCTAAGGTCAAGGACATGTACTCATAAGCCAGGACAATTATCAAAAACAAGAAATTTAATATTAATGCAATTTTATTATCTAATCTAAGTTTCACCAATTGTCCCAATGAGGTACTTTCTAGCTCCCTTTTCCTGGCTCAGGATCATCTAGGGCCCTGCCTTGCACTGAGTACTCCGGTGCCTTAGCTCCTTTCCAACGTGGAAGTTTCTCGCTGCTCCTCTGTTTTTAAGGAATTGGCCAGTTATCCTGTAAAAGGTCCCTCAGAATGGGTTTGCCTGATCTTCCGTGGGATTAGATTTAGGTGGTGGCTTGTTGGCAAGAATGTTACATACGTGCTGAGGTGTCCCCAGGGCATCACAGCAGGAGGAATGCCAGTTGTCTTGCTTGGGAAGTTACTCTCTTTCCTCATAACAATTATGTCAGTTTCCCCAAGGGCCTCATTAGTCCTTGGCTAATAAATCATCCTCACTTGAAACAGCTTCTGCCCAGCTTCGCCTGGGATTGGAGCAGAGCCGCTGTGACAGACGTGAGGGTGCCTCCCACCTTTTGTAAGGCGTACACTTTCACCTGCCACTGGTTTGCTCTGCGTGTGCGTCTTGCTGATGGGCGTTTACACTGCCCCTCGTCAGTGAGCAGTGGGCCCAACAAAGATGCGCCAGGGAAGACGGCGCGGCGGCCAGAGCTCGTGGGGTCACCGCTGAGCGCTTCCCGTGCTGGGATGGCTCTTGCTTACCCCACACGCTGGTGAGGACCATGTGTCACATGCTATCACGAAAATTGGGGGGCTCCGTTTCCTAGCAGCCATTCAGCTACATCATTCGTTGTTCCTCACAGGTATGGCCAAGGAACGACGCTCGCTGGTTAGAATCCCTGTCTAACTTTAATTCGTAATATTGCCCCCTGCGGGACTCCCACGCCACCTGACGAGTGAGCAAACGCTCCTTACCTCTTAGAACGTGCTGATAGCTGGACAGCAGAAACTGCAGGTGCTCGACCAGCTCATCCCACGTCTGCCACTGGGTTTTGTCCGACTGCGGAGACAGTAAGAGCACTTGCTAATGAACGCCTCCCTCAGTTAAGGGTTCTGTGCCATTTCCAGGTCACTTGGCCGTGATGCTCAAGGGCTGGGGGAAGGTGTACGGGCCCGGACTGAAGCGGGAGGCAGGTACCTGACACTTGAGCAGCGACGTGGAATGGTTGAGGAAGTAGAGGGCCTGGGCCAGGGACAGGGGCAGGCGGGTGGGCGTCTCGCAGCTGTGCAGGAATATAATCTCAAGCACTTTGCAGCGCAGAAGGTGGCTCTCCATGGTGGTGAAGAACATCTCTCTGCAGGGGAAGGGCAGAGGGGGTGAACCGTCATGGCTCTTATTTCCAGGAACACGTGCCACGACTTCCCCTTGACACTCTGACATTGGCCCTAAAACAGGCGACTACAAAGGAATCCAATGGAGGCCTACAAATCACACAGCCTGCGGACTGGGCAGACACAGATTTGTTCATGAACTAACAACTGCTGCAAGGGGGAGAGTCTTGTCTATTTGGAAAGGACCGGTTTAGGACACATTAAAAAGAATTACTTCAGCCTGGCTGGCGTGGCTCAGTGGTTGAGCATCAACCTAGGATCCAGGAGATGGAGGTTGGATTCCCGGCCAGGGCACATGCCTGGGTTGCAGCTCAATCCCTAGTAGGGGGCGTGCAGGAGGCAGCCGATCAATGACTCTCATCATTGATATTTCTCTCCCTCTCCCTCTCCCTCTCCCTTCCTCTCTCTCTGAAATAAATTAAAGAAATAAAAATAAAAAGAACTACTTCATACTGTGACTAAGAGAATTAATACTAAGAATGAATATTTCTGAATGTCCACAACGTGCTAGATACTATTTGGCTCAGCAAAGAGCATTAAGATAAAGGATCTTCTAGTAAGTTTTGGGCAGCTGCCAAATTGCCCCCTCTGAGAAAGTTTTAAATTAGGGCAGCATTTTACTTAAGTTATTTTTGGTCTGTGTTAAGTCTAAATTTGTTTATAGTTATGCATTCCTTAAATTTCTCATCTCTCACAGAATCTGGGCTTAAACAAGTGAGGTATGAGAGTTAGACCCAAATGAAATACTCCTGAAAAAGTGGTCAAGCGAGCATAGTATTTAAGCACATCTCCTTCCTGACCAGTCTCACATACTGCCTCCTTTGAACAATGAGCCTGGGATCTAAAAGTCCTGGGTTTAAAACTGGATTCTGAATCTGATTAGCTGTGTAACCCTGGGCTACTTATTTCACTACTTTTAGTATTTTTCTCGTTTGTTAGTTTCATGAAAATATGAGATAATGTGACAATGACTGGGCACGCTGTAGGGACCCAATAAATGTCTGTCTTAGTCTTAGCAGGGTGTTTTAATTAAATCTTCATGCCCGTCATATTTGGTATGACATTTTCTTCTAGAGGAGCCGGAGCTGTGGAATGCTCTCGGCTGCCCCGGGGGCGCAGGGGCTGGCGATGAGCAGCGGGCAGGGGGCTGAGGGAGCTCATTCCCCAGGGTCGCCACTGTACGACTCTCTCATGGCTACTTCCCGCACCAGCAACTGTTCGTGAATTCATATTCATTCCAGTTTATCTGTCTTCTAAAATTATTGGTTCAAAGAAGGAAGCATTCGTGCTAGGCAAGAACTCTCCTTACCCCCCTCATGGGACGCCTGATTACTTCCTGCGGAGGGAAACTGAGCTCCTGACTGTCGCTACCTGGGCTCATCCTACGGGCCCAGCCCTACTCACTCTTGATGGTCCCTAAGACGGGCATGCCTGCTTCGTTCATCCCTCGGGCCTCCGTGAACATTTATGCCTGGCCCCATGGCTCAGGGTCGGGGAAGGGGGTTGCATAACGGCTGAAACTTGGAGGATGCTGGCCAAAGGGACACAGTAGGGAAATTTAGGCTCCGTTTAAGGTATCCCGCTCTTCCCAAAAAAGTATGCCTTAGTTGAAAATAATAAGAATTCATTGAGAGCTTTTTTCTCACAGGTTAGACAGACAGGAACTATCCCTCCACCTCTTTTCCCCCCCAATTTAACTACTATTTGGAATTTTCTTTCAAAATTACATTCCCAGAATGAAAAAGAAAATGAGAGCTAAGACTCACCTCTGACTCCTCTCGGGGATGTCCAGCACAAACCCAAACATCATCTCGGCGATTTTATTGGAGCTGCAGGTGGGGGTCCTGTCCACCTCCACGGCTATGGACAGCATCCTCTGCAGCTGGCACACGATCCTGAGTCCAGAGCAGACACAGGTGAGTGGGAGGCCTGGGAGGAGCCACCCTGCTGGCAGGGAGGAGGGGCCCACCAGTTCTACAGGGTCTTGTGGAGCACACAGTAGGTCAGGGAGAACTACACGAGCCATCAGCATACTTTTGTTCAGCAATTTCACCTGCCTGAATCCCTTCTGCCAGATCATACTATCTGAACCTCAAAGAACCTGGGGTTGAGCTGCAAAAGCAAGCTGTTTTAAGAAACACACAATCTAAGGATCTAGAGTACTTTGAGGATCATCTAGCCTATAACTTCTGTTGTGCAGATGAAGAAACAGGTCCAGAATGACTAACAAGTCAACTGGTGGACCGTGGCCCTCTCTCCCGTGAGACCTCACCAGGCTGATGTGGCGGAAGGAGTCTGGGCAACCCCTTGGAAAGGTGAGCCTGGCCAGAAGTCTGCTCTCTCTAATCCGCATCATTATTGTGATGGGAGAGAGGGCTGTTTGTCGAGAATCTGCAGCTGGTGACGCAATAGGTGGGCCAGGGGCCTGTGCCTCAGATTCTGGGCCTGCAGTGACAAGCTGTTCAACTGTGGACAAGTTACTGACACTGCCTAGTTCAGAAGGTGTGAGCGCTCTGTGAAACGTCTGGTAGACAGGTGCTCATGAATGGCGAACTATAGTGCCTATTACTGTTTTTAAGATCATAGTAAATTGACTTTTTATTTCTACTAATATTCACTTACAATAAATTTCTTGTTACCTTTATATGAGATTACCTTTCCTTGAAGGAACTGTGTAGGCCTCGCTCTTGGTATAAACTGGGGTTCTGGGATAACCCTACTTCTGGGCCTCCCACAATCAGCCCAAGTAAATGCTTATTTGCTCCAAGACATTCTCCATTTTGATACAAGATTGTCTCCTAAGTTAGTTAAAACCCATAGGCCTTATATGAAAATCAGCTTGGCACAATTAGATTATAATACAGCATTGTGAATTAGGGCACAAGTGCTGTGTTTGAAATGTCAAGTGTTATTAACAATATTGATATGGGATAGTGGGTTATTTATGTCAGGGCAGCTCCAGCCCCTAAAATCTTGGCTTCTCTCAAAAAGTGCCAAGACTACTCTCAATCCCATAAAAGAAACACCAGGACTCTCTTTCCGGTGCTGTCTGAGGTCATGGGACGGGCCTGCTCTGAGCCATTGCTGTTATATCCTGGTGGAACCTGGCGGACTGAACAGCCAGACTCCTCCCAGCCCTGGAGGAGAGAGACGCAGGTCCTCAGGACCAGTGGCCGCCGATCGCCTGCCACCTATCCACCCTCCTCTGTCAGTGGAAGCTGAAGTATGAGTAGCTGAAACTTTACTGTCTCTCGGTGTCCAGGAAAGGGAGGGCTGTGTCCTCGGGTTTTGTTTCACTTTAGTTTATAAATTTGTGTTCACTTAGTGGAGTCCTATCCATCTAGGGGAAGCATCTGCTGCTGTTCTACCTTTGCAATTAGAAATTTAGCCTTTAGTCACACAAGACAGTCTTTAGTAAGAATCACTGTTTCAGGGCTGGTTAACCTGGGGGAACTGCAGCTAGGGAGGGGGGCTGTTTCTGCCACAGTCAGTCCCAGCAGCCCCAGCAAAGGCAGCTTCTGCCCTTACACCTGCACGGTGTTCTTCGTCAGAGCGGGCTGCGGACAAGGGTGGCTGCTGCTGGCCTTCAGGACGCCTGCCCCAGAAGAGGTGTGACTCCCATTTGGGGGCTGAGTTAATCCGCCTTCAGTCACCGCTTTGACCAGCCACTTGATCACATCTCTGCGAGGGAAAAAAGGTAAGAAAGGGTTTAAACTTTTGTATTACTGTATGGTGGCACTAGAGGGCCCTTAGGCTATTTTCAATGTGTAAATGAGTCTACCAGAAACCACACATTTAACTGCAGTAGGGTTATGCAAGTAACTAAGATACCAACATTTTCTCTAAGTTATCATCGTTGAAAGGTACCTCCGAGGTCAAAGAGCACTGTGGCTTCCTGACCAGGAACATTCACTTGACCAGGTGCTGAGCTGGACTGAATGACCACAGAAGTTGTTGCTGGCTTTCACTTATTAGTACCCCAGGTTTACAGTATGTACAGTGGAGTCATATTTTACACAGGGTGTAAAAGTCAGCAAGGTAAAAGTATCTCATACAGTCAAAATTACTTTTGACAATCTCTTAGGTAACCCGGCGAAAATGGCTGATTGAATACACACATCTAATTTTGTTCCTTCTGAAAATCCCACTAATAAATACTACAGTAAATAATTTTTAAAAATTCACAAGGAACAGGAGAAAAAAAGGGGAGATGACAATCATGAAATTTTGGAAATCGGAAGGAAAATGAAGCATATTCACAAAATAGAATATTATATAGTAGTGAAGATGGATAAGCTACAGTGATAGGTAACAATATGGACAAACCTTAGTACTCTGTAATATTAAGTGAAAAAAAAAAGACTTTTTATATAATAGATTACATGCAGCATTATGCCCTTTTATATACAGTTAAAAAATAAAAAACATGTATACTTTATAGGAGCACATGCAGATGCAGTAAAACTACATAAAAGGGAAAGGGAGTGATGAATGTTCAGGATGCTGATTACTGTATGTGCAGGAAGGAGCAAGAGCGGGTGATGGGGGTGGATGTGTTACTAGAGGTAGTTAATTGTCAAGGTCCCGGCCTTTGATTTGGGGAGTGGTTAAGAGATGCTGATTATAAAATTAAAAGTAACCAATTAACTAAGTAAATAAGGCAAGTGAGTCATGTTTTAAGGATAATGTTTAATCTAAATGGCAAAGGAATAAATTTTAACTGACTTAGCAGAATTGGGAAAGCTGAATTCTACGCCAGCAGTAGATAAGGGCAATCCTATTTAATACTACTTACCCAAAAAGTGAAAACAATTTTTTTGATAAGCTTTGCAAATGGCAGTATAAGGCTTCTCTGAAGTGAGGGTAGAAGGCATGAATTAAAATAAGTATGAGGGCTTGTAAGATGTTTAAGAAAATTTTAGATATCTAGATCATCCCCAGCTCTGAAGACTATAGGTTCCCTTTGTGGAGAGGTAAACAGAGGGTCTCTGGACTAGGATACCAGGCAAAGCTGGAAGGCGAGGCACTGAAGCCCAAACGGGGCACTAACGAACACGTGCATGCGGAATGCAGACACCCTCCACCCTCCCGCACCTGCCTTCTCGAGCCCTGGCATCCAGGCTTTATCCTGCACCTAGGTGGCTGTACGTCTTCTGTGGAAAACCCATCCAGCCCAAGAAGAAAGACCTAAAGACATGGGCAGGGTATTGTCTAAAAAATGGGCAGCCAGTTCCACCTGCAGGGAAGTTCAGAAATGACAAGTCCTCCCGTTAGCCTCCATTAGCTTCCATTAGCCTTTGAGTCTGTCACCCTTAAACTTGGATAGACTACCAAGGTTTACCAGACATCTGTGGAAATATCCTAACCTGAGAGATAAAGACCAAAATAGCCCAAACTATCCTGCCCCTCCCCTCCTCCCCTTAAAAGAGCAACTTGGAAAAAGACATTAATGCAGAGAATAAACAAAAGCTATCATTAGTATCATCAAAGATATGAGAAGATATGGATCCATTTAAGAAGACACCAGAATATTATTTATTAATTTTGAAAAGGAACATCTAGAGAAATAAGTAAAAGAGCTCCTGGAAATGGAAAACTGTATTTTCCAGGAATGAAGGACATGTTTCCAGACTGTAACGGCCCACACAATGGATGCATATAGACCTACAAGAAGCATACTGGGCAAAAAGAATATTCTATAAACTTCCAGAAATAAAAACCAGGGCAAATAAAAAGAATCAGTAACCAAAGTAGCTTCTGACTTGTTAACAGCAATTCTGGAAGCTAGAAGACAATGGAAGATTTCCTTCGACATCCGGTGGAAAAGTTATTTCTAACCTAAATGTCTATACTCAGTTATCAATAAATGTGTGGGAAGAAAACTTCAGACCTATAAGATCTCAAAAATTTTACTTCCCACATACCTTTCTAAGAAGCTACTGGAGACTGAACCATCAAAATGGAGTGAACCGAGAAGAACAAATAAACAAATAATTTACAATAAGGACTGGCAAAGAGGACAACCAATCCGGGCTGAAGGTGGCCAAAATGTTTCACCACAGATATTCGAGAAGACACCGAGACCACCCAGTGCAAATGCACGCCTGAGGGGAGATTCAGACCAAGTAGTAGAGGACTTGGGACTGACTTCCAATGTGACAGAGTATGAGGAAACTGAAACAAGGCAATGACCAGCTCTGGAAAACAAAAGGGTACGAGTGAAAGGAAAGGCATCACGGGCAGTAGGGCTCAGCTCCGCCGGGCACTCAGTCCCAGTCAGGGGCATCGAATGCCGACCGCAGCACGTTATGATGTAACTGTATGGATGCCGGGGAGCTGAGAAACGGGAGGCGGGAGGAAGGGGGCAACAAGGGCTAGTAATGAAAAGTCAAGAATTAACAACACAAGCAGGTTATTTAGCCACATAGATGTAAATATGCCCAGAATCACTTAAATGAAAGAGTGGAAAGTAGTTACCCCTGTGGGAAAGGGAAATGCAGGTGAGGGGAACTGGGGACTAGTGTTTTTTAAATCTTGTAGAACTAGTTTACTCTTTGTAGGCACAGTTAAAAAAGAAAAGAAAATCCCTTACAAAGGAGTCATGTGGGAACTGACTTAGCATCTCTCTCGTTTTAAAACCTTATCTGTGGGGAACAATTTATATACAGTAAATGGCACACAGGTTTTGTGTGATGGGTTCTGATAAGTACATGTACATATCCGTAAAACCACAACCTTAATCTCATATCCATCTCTTACTGAATCAAAGACAGCTGGTTCTTCCATCTGGAACAGATGGCTTTTTTCACTGATAAAGCACAAAATAGAGGACCTGGCTTGCATTTCAAGGCCACATCCCTATTTTTAAACCCAAGAATCACACTCTATATAGTGAGAGGCTCACATCAGAGAGGTGGAAATGAAAGTGACTGATGACACTGGCTTGAGTGGGATTGTGTCTCCCAATGCCTACTCAATCCAATGTCTACTCTCACATGGCAGAATGGTCAGCAGAGTTGCTTTCATTTAAATTATTATATTTTAATTTAAAATCCAACTACACTATCCTATGCTCTTTGAGGATTCTCTACTTACTGATTTTCTACCCCTAGACCAGGGGTGGGGGAATCATTTGGTCTGGCCCTGCAAAGGCAACCGCAGGTGGGACTCAAAATTCAATAAATGTAGGAATTTCTTTCATAGCTAATTTTTAAGTTGATAATTTTGTATGGCCTGCGAATGATGTTATAAATAATCCAAATGGCCCTTGGCAGAAAAAAGGCTCTCTACCCCTGCCCTAGACTAACACCAGTTAAGGTTTCTCTTAAATCTCCTAAGGTTGTGTGGACAATACTGAAATAGATCAAAGGAAGTCTGATGGTCTTAAGAGAAAATACACAAGATCTGGGGCCTGGCATACCACTTGATATAGAGTCTGTTTTATGTCTGTCTATAGTTTCAGTAACTATCCCTGTCACACCATCCTGCAACTAGAATGTCCCATCCATCTGATGTTCTCTGGCCCACCGACAACCCCTGCCTCTTCCATCCCAGGACTCGGGTGGCTGCTTACCTGACATTGTGGGGCTGCTTGTCACAGGACAGCACAGTGTTGGCAATGGATTGCTGCAGGTGCTGTCGTTGCTTCCTCAGGATCTGCTGGAAGTCATCTTCCAGGGTCTGCACCACGTAACGCAGGAAAAGGACCCGCCCAGGCAGATTTTGTCCCTGTGGGAGATAAATGAGAAGTATTTCCTTGGTCACCTGGGACGGCGAGCCCTTGGCTCTTGTAAATACCTAGTCCAAAGGAAGGCGACGAATCAACATTGTGTCTATACCAAAAGGGAGAGAGCAGGCCGTCTAGGTCAGTGCAAAAAAGGGCAAGTAGAGCACTCCTGGAGGCTCGGGAGTGCAGACTTTCTGATTTTAAGAGATAGCCATAGGAAGCGAGTCTCACTCTCTCACTAAATTTATGTTTCAGAATAAACCCTAACCTGTGGCTATCAGAAGGGAGAGGCAGGAACTGGCTCCCAATGACTCTGCCGAGCTGCTAGCTCAAGCAACCATGTCCACCGGCCGCTGAACTTCTATGATGTGAGCAGATGCGCAGCCTTGTTGTGTAAGCAAGTCTCAGGTGGGTTTCTGTTACAGGTGAGATGATCCTCACAGATAAAGCCCAATGGATGCAGGTAGAGAACATAGGCTTTGGCGGCACACAGACCTTATCTATTGATTTTTGTTGGTTTGATCCCCTTATTTAACTTTCGCTCCTGAGTCTCGGTGTCCCTGTGATTAATGATAGTTCTAACCAAAGCCAGTGTAAGCACCAGTCATTCAGCTCTTGGGCGGGCACGCGCAATGGTAGCTCCCCTTTACCGGGAGACAAGTGCTGGGGTCCAGGCCCAGGAGCTCAGGCTTTGAAGCTTCAAAGAATCAGAAGGCACCAAACCATTTTTGGCCTTTGTGGGGGACTTTTCAAACACCAGAGGGCAGGCATGTTTTCTAGGAACTAAACTCTTGGAGTAGGATAGGATATGGTCCACAGGAAAAAGAACGACCATTCTAAGTACCTACCATTTCTTTCTTTCTTTGGAGGTGGAAATGGGATACCTTTGTCATATAAATGTGTAATTTTTCTCTCTGATCTTTATTGATAGAAATGATTTTTAAAAACTCAAGTACGTGTGCTAGATTTATGAGGAAAGAAAGTCTTCCAGTGACACCTCTCCATAACCACTTGTCCCCTCTGGAACCCTAGAGGGAGTAACTTTTAACTCTTTCTTCTGGAGGTTACTCTAAAAAATGCTCTTATCACTATTTCTTGTTCTATCAACTTTAGACATTACCTATTGGTTCCTGCTATGCTAGGTAAGGATTTAACTCATTTATGCCACATCTCCCTTCTCTTCCTAAAATAACTATCTCAACTTATGTTCCACCATCTACAGATAATACATTTTGTCTCCTGACGCTGTAAGATAAGGGTGCAATAACAGCCCCACTATTCTCAGAAACGCTCTCTCTTCATCTCCCAACCTTTATCTTCGGTACTTTTCTATTTTCCCTTGTCAAAGCTAATAAAAGCATCTGCCATGCTTTGTATAAAATCGATTCTAAACATAATGAAATAGTGTTCACACTGTGAGGACCACGTTAAAATTATTGACTACACTGGGAATCCATATAGTATACTAAGAAAATAATTCCTTTCTTGTGAAGATTTTTTATTTTTGTAAAGCTTCTTTTATATCCTTTCTACATTATTTCTTTCACCCCCTCAAGAATGGTGTTGAATTTTGAGAATACCCTTCTTTCCCAAAATTTTTTTTGGTATTTTTAAAAGCAACTTTATTGACAAACCATAAAATTCACGTATTTTAAATGTACAACTCAGTGATTTGCTATAAATTTATCAAGTTCTGCAACTATCACCATAATCAATTATTATTATTATATTGTTGACATTACAGATGTCCCCATTTTGCCCCCTTTACCTCCCTCCACCCACACCCCGCCCTCCGCTCCCTCTGGCCCTCACCACATCGCTGTCGTGCCCATGGGCTGTGCGCATTTCATGTGCATATATGTTCCTCAGCCATTCTCTTCACCTCCTTCATCCCGTCTCCCC